TTCTAGAAGGTCTTGTAGGTCTTCATAGAACAGTTCAATTTCTTTGGCATTAGTGATTAGGGCATACACTGGAATTACTGTGATATTGAATAGTTTGACTTGGAAACGAACAGAGATCATTCTGTCATTTTTGAGATTGCATCCAAGTACTGCATTTTGGAATCTTTTATTGACTATGAGGGCTAGTTCATTGGTTCTAAGGGATTCTTGCCTACAGTAGTAGATATAATAGTCATCTGAATTAGACTCATCATTCCCATTGATTTTAGTTTACTGATTCCTAAAATGTCGATGTTTACTCTTGAAAATCCTGCTTTGACCACTTCCAATGTACCTTGATTCGTGGACCTAACACTCCAGGTTCCTTGGCCATGTTGTTCTTACAGTATCGGACTTTCCTTTCACCACCAGACACGTCCACAACAGGGCGTTGTTTCTGCTTTGGCTCAGCCTTTTCTTTCCCTCTGGAGCTATTTTTCTGCTCTTCTCCAGTAGCATGTTGGGCTCCTATCGACCTGGGAAGCTTGTGAGAAAAAGTCTGACAAGACCTTAAAAAAAACCAAAAGATATTAGAACAATTAATTTAAGAAGTCAGGTACATCTGATGCCACGCAGAGACCCCTGCCGAGTCGCTGGGCCTCACTCATTTCTCTGCTTCCAGCGCGAGTGCATCTCCATCCACGTGGGGCAGGCGGGCGTCCAGATCGGCAACGCCTGCTGGGAGCTGTACTGCCTGGAGCATGGCATTCAGCCCGACGGCCAGATGCCCAGCGACAAGACCATCGGCGGCGGGGATGACTCCTTCAACACGTTCTTCAGCGAGACCGGGGCCGGCAAGCACGTGCCCAGGGCCGTGTTCGTGGACCTGGAGCCCACCGTGGTCGGTAGGTCCCCTCCCACTTGGCAAGGGAAGCGCAGAACCTTCGCTGGGCACACACAGGTCAGAAGCACGAGGTAGTTTCCGAGGGGAGCGGCCACCCAGGAGACGACAGACAGTCACCCCGGAACCAGGGAGACCCAGGCCACAGGGGTGCCCGGGGTGGTCAGGCTGGCATCTATGCAGGGTGGCAGGGCCGTCCCAGTGACGTCGGGGTGGAGCGGCGGGTGTGGGCGAGGCGCACACAGAGCCGCCTGGGCACTCCTGTCCTTCGGGAACCGGCCACACTGCTGCTTTTTCTGGTTGATGGACCCCCTGGAGCCGTGAATGGCAGATGGGCATGTCTGTCTCAGAGACTCGCCTGGGAGACCTGACCCCCGGCCTGGGAGGAGCAACGCGGACCTGCAGATAGGCAGGTCCTGGAGCCGCCGCGGGGGTGAGGCGGCGTCCTCCAAGCCCGGCTGCTGTCCCCCCGCAGACGAGGTGCGCACGGGGACCTACAGGCAGCTCTTCCACCCGGAGCAGCTGATCACCGGGAAGGAAGACGCGGCCAACAACTACGCCCGCGGCCACTACACCATCGGCAAGGAGATCGTCGACCTGGTCCTGGACCGCATCCGCAAGCTGGTGAGAAGGGCCCGGGGGGCTCCCGGCCAGGACTGGAGAGCCCGGGGTGGCGCGTGCGGCCCGGCTCACGCCTCTCCCTCCCGCAGGCGGACCTGTGCACGGGGCTGCAGGGCTTCCTCATCTTCCACAGCTTCGGGGGCGGCAGCGGCTCGGGCTTCGCGTCGCTGCTCATGGAGAGGCTCTCGGTGGACTACGGCAAGAAGTCCAAGCTGGAGTTCGCCATCTACCCGGCGCCCCAGGTCTCCACGGCCGTGGTGGAGCCCTACAACTCCATCCTGACCACGCACACGACCCTGGAGCACTCGGACTGCGCCTTCATGGTGGACAACGAGGCCATCTACGACATCTGCCGGCGCAACCTAGACATTGAGCGGCCCACCTACACCAACCTCAACCGGCTCATCGGGCAGATCGTGTCCTCCATCACGGCCTCCCTGCGCTTCGACGGCGCCCTCAACGTGGACCTGACCGAGTTCCAGACCAACCTGGTGCCCTACCCCCGCATCCACTTCCCCCTGGCCACGTACGCCCCGGTCATCTCGGCCGAGAAGGCCTACCACGAGCAGCTGTCCGTGGCCGAGATCACCAACGCCTGCTTCGAGCCGGCCAACCAGATGGTCAAGTGTGACCCTCGCCACGGCAAGTACATGGCCTGCTGCATGCTGTACCGGGGGGACGTGGTCCCCAAAGACGTCAACGCGGCCATCGCCACCATCAAGACCAAGCGCACCATCCAGTTTGTGGACTGGTGCCCGACCGGGTTCAAGGTAGGCGGGGCGGTAGCGCGTGTGCAGCTTTCTGCCCGTGGCCGGCCCCGGGGCGGGGTGCTGACCCGCCGCAGAGGGTCCCCTGTTCCCGGGCAGCTGGGCTTCAGGGACAGCAAGGTTAGTAATGAGTGTGCTGGATGCCTTGATCTTGATCAATACTTCACGCACCTTTACTTGTTACGACCAGCCAATAATGCCATGGGCTGATACTGCCAACATCTTACGCTTCAGAGACAGACGCTGAGACGGCTTTTAGAGCCTCAGAGCCTCAGGGTCAGCGACGGAAGGAGGGAGCTTTCAGAGACTTCCGACTGCAGGCCTGTACTCAGGTTTCCCCACTGCTCACCCAAGAACCTTGTCAGAGTCTGTGGTGTCATTCTGTGATTGGGTTTAGATTTCACATTACTTGAGTCACCAGTTGTCACTGAATCTTAGGCACAGTTATGTTTTTGTAGAGAGGCTCTTCTATTCATTATGCAATATTTTCTGTGGGACCAAGAGTGGTTCACCGCTGTTTCTCCAAGTCAGACCTGGAATGCTGCCTCCCATACAAAACCACACTAATAGAAGTGGCTCCTCCAACTGTGTTTAGTGTCACAGTGAAACGTCTGCCCAAAGAAGAGCATCCTGAATTTGAAGCCAAGTCCCAGAATGTCCCACTTTAGACCTGTGACCACCAGGCTAAGTGTCTGGCCACGCCTGGGCTTGTGAACCCTGCGCCCTCTTCCTCGTTGAGTCCTTTCTCACAAGTGATCTTCGTTAGATAAAGTGCTGGATCCTGCATCTGAGCCCTGATGCGGCCCTTCGGTGTGCTGGGAGTTGCCATCCCCAGGGTCTTTGCAGACTGAAAGTGAGGCCAAGTAGCAGCGATGCGTGGGTCGTCGTCTTCCCATTTAAATACCGAGCTTGCCTCTGACCAGCCCACGCTGTTGCACCCACCTGGCCTCTGTCAGCCTCACTGCCAGACACCTTGACACGGACCACCTGAGGGTGTTCGACTCACACGTGTAAATGACTCACAGGGGTAAAGTGTGTATGCAACAGGTTTCACCAATTAGAAATATCCACAAAATTAAACCTTCGTAGATGTTTGCAGGCCTCTGAGGTTAGGTTAACAGGTTGGGGTCGGAAGCTTTTTTTTTGCCATGCCACACGGCATGGGGGATCTTAGTCCCTGGGCCAGACGTCAGCCCTTGGCCCCTGCAGGAAACCGCCGCGTCTGGACCACCAGGGAAGTCTTTTTCTTCTCCCATTCTTCTTGGTTTGAGGACGTTTCCTTTCAGTGCCCTCGCTTTGACCTTTGGGAGGCAAGGCTGCCACCCACGGCCGCCTCAGCTGGGCAGCGCCGTGTGCGGTGCCGGGCACTGTGCCCAGGCTTCCCGTCCTGGCCGAGTCTGTGCGCCAGAGGGGAGGCCAGTCTGGAGGGAGGTCAGGAGGTCACACTGCTGTCCCCACGCGTGACAGTTCACTCCTGGACGGTGTCGCATCCTCACCTGCCTGAGTGACTTCAGTGCTGACAGCTGTCTGCTCAGGGGTGCACCATTTTCATGGAATCTTTCTCCATGTTTGTATCAGGTTTTCTCATTATGAAAGTGTGTATGTGGCGAGATATTTTAGTCCTGCAGAAGGCTGAAAAGCTTAAGTCCTCTTCTAAAAGTGAAAATGTAGGATATTAAACACTGGCAGATACTGCCAAAAAGTACAGCACCTGTTCCTACATGGCATCATGTAAAGTGGGTCCACGGCCCCCATTTTAAAAAACAAGCTCCCATTTCCGAGGCCACACTCCGAGTTCACCATGTTCTCCTTCTCCGGCAGGTGGGCATCAACTACCAGCCCCCCACGGTGGTCCCGGGGGGGGACCTGGCCAAGGTGCAGCGGGCCGTGTGCATGCTGAGCAACACCACGGCCATCGCCGAGGCCTGGGCCCGCCTGGACCACAAGTTCGACCTCATGTACGCCAAGCGCGCCTTCGTGCACTGGTACGTGGGGGAGGGCATGGAGGAGGGGGAGTTCTCGGAGGCCCGGGAGGACCTGGCGGCGCTGGAGAAGGATTACGAGGAGGTGGGCGTGGACTCGGTGGAGGCGGAAGCCGAGGAAGGGGAGGAGTACTGAAGGCGGAGCGGCCGCAGCCCCGCACTTGTTTCCCCGAGTGTCCTGTCATAGATGTGTTTCCCTATTAAAGTTTCTCAGGTAAACCTGTGCCTGAACAAGCTCATCTGTCTGCAGGAGTGTGGAGGACGCCCCGCTGGTTTTCAGTTGAATTTGCCATTTCCCAGGCTTCTCTTTTGGGATAGGCGGCCTTAGGCATAAGGGCCTAGAGGTGGAGTGTGGAAACCTCGGGTCTGCAGAGGGTCCACACTCTGTGGACCTGGGGGTAGGATGTGGTCGCTCCGGACCCTGGGAGGAAGGGTCTTACCTGCTTCTGTGGCATGCTTGACCCATGGAGGGTAACAGCTGTCGCTCACAGCCCTTCTGTGCTCAAACCACTGCTGCACCTGCGTGCTGGGGAGGGCCTCGGTGAAAGTGCAAGAGACCCAGGAAGACCGCGGTTCTTGCAGGCTCAAAAGAGGCCCAGGAGGCGGGTGGTGAAGACAGCACCCAGAGTTAAGTCTAAACGCTTGTGCCTGAACTTGGCCGACGGGTGACAGAACACATCTGGAATGGACCCTTGGCGTTTCAGAGGTTTATTAGCCACAAGATGGGGGAGCTGCCTGCCCGGGGGGCGCTCAGCTGCCGCTCCTCGGGGGGCTCCTCCCCGGCCCACCCCCCTTTGGCAGCCTGGAGGCGCTGGGTTGGCGGGGCATCCTCTGGCTGGGTCCTTCCCGGCCGCTGCGTTCTGCCGGGGCCGGGCCTCCGCCCAGGGCACCGCCGCCCTTGTTTCTCCCTGGAGGACACAGAGCACAGGCGTCAGCAGCCAGGCAGAACCCTGGGGGCAGCGTAGGGAAGCTGGGCAAGTTGACCCTGTGACCGGCTCCTGAACCTGGTCGTGGAAGCGCTGCTTCTTGGTGGTCTCCCTCTCCCCTCTGTGTTCCACAGACATCCAGAACCGCTGGCCCCGAGACTGGACTCCCCTGAGGCTCCACGGGGCAGCCACGCTCAGCTGCAGAGCACGGCTCCGACAGCTCCCCGACAGGCCATCGGCCGGCGAGGTCTGCAGCCGTGGCTGGACTGCACTGGTTCCGGCAGTGGCATCAGCGAGATGGGGAGGACCCGGGGGGCCGGTGTGCTTGGCCCGGCCCACCCCACTGACCCACCTCAGCCCGGGTTCTCCCTTGTCCGCGCTGGGGCAGGGGCGTGCCCCCTGCAGGAGCCCAGGCTCCACGCTGGTTCCTGGCCCTGCAGCCTGCAGTGGGGAGCGGGGGCTGTGGACAGCGCCAGCTCTGATCCTGACACTGGCACACCTGCAGGAACAAGGCCACCCTGCCCGGAGTCTCTGGCAAGTTCGCCCGCAGACGGCGGGCGGTCTGAGCCACCTGGCACAGGGTTGGGCGTTTGCAGTGGCCCCAGCTTGGAAGCCTGACAGCTGGTCTCCCTGTGAGAACTCGATTCGAATAAGGAGCAGCCACGGGTCACCCACTGCTGAGCGGGAGCAGACTGGAGTGATGCGGGGCCAGCTGTGCCCAGGGGCCACCAAAATGAGCCAACAGGGCTGTCCCTGCCCTTCTCCCCAGGACAGATGCCAGCCTTCTGGTCCCGTGAGTGCATGGCCCCCACCCCACAGGGGCATCCAGTTGGAGAGGCCACACTACCCTCCCCAAGCTGGGCCAGGCCGAGTCAGGTCTGGGAGCTTGCGGCTTCACCGTTGGGCCTGAGCGCCGCTGAAGCACGGTGCAGGGGCAGCTCCCCGAGGCGGGCCCCTGCCGCAGGCTGTACTCTGCAGCTCTGCTTCCGGGGCCTGCGCACGCGTGCTTCCTGACCCCCACCAGGGAGGACCAGGGCCCCGGACACTCAAGGATGAGAGGGAAGTAAAACAGCCAAAGTAACGTTCACCTTTAAATCTGGTGAGGCTGAGAAACCCGGAAATAAGAAACTGATGCCACCCTTAAGTCATGGAAGGTGTCAGGGAAACCACCTCAGGACGGAAGCAGGCCCTTCATCCAGCTCAGGGTGGTTCTCGGCACCTAAAGGAGCCGCACAGCCTTGGGGCTCGTGGGGAGACCCACTCAGGCCTTGGGCCCGCTGGACCCAGCAAGGCACATTTGGGAGCTCGGAGCTCGTCATGCCTGCTCACCTTCCTCTGATGTGGCTATTAGGTCAGATGGAACGGACTTAAACGAGGATTGAGGCTGAGCCCAGGGTAAAGCCTGGTTCCCATGGGGCCCTCTTAAGGGTCAAGACAGACAGCAGTTTGTCGTCATCACTAAGTCGTGACCCCGCAGGCTGCAGCCCACCAGGCTTCCCTGTCCTTCACCGTCTCGGGGTTTGCTCAAGCTCATGTCCGTGGAGTCGGCGATGCTAGTGAACCATGTCATCCTTGTTGAATGAATCACTGCCGGCTTACTCCCCTAATGAAGCAAACCCCCCAAACAGCGGCCCATTGCCAGCAGTGACTTGGGGGCCCCTGAAGCTGGGGAGCACCTAACCCCCACTGCGGGCTCTGCCAGGCGCTGAGTGGGAACTAGAACCAGAAAAGCCCAGAGCTTTGTCCTGGGTGGTGAGAGCGCCCCTTGTGGAGTCGGCCAGCTGCTGAGGCCAGGTATCTGACAGGATGTGTGACCAGGGGTGAGAAATGTCAGGCAGGAACCACTGCAGCCCCACCTCCTGCTGGGCCCGCTGACGGGGTCTGGTGGCCAGGACCGGCGGGCGGCAGGGGCGTGGGGAGCACCCAGCAGGGGCTTGACCGGTGCTGCAGACCAGACTGAACGCCGGTGCACAAGGCGGGCTGCACACGTGCCCCTTACCCTTGGCCCACACCCCTGGGGGACGGTCCCGCGCGGACGTGCCTGTGACCCCGCCGGGCACACGGCCGGGTGCTGCTGGAGAGAAGCACGTCCGCGGGCAGGAGTGGCCACACCCCCAGCTCAGGAACCAGGCAAGGGGGGACCCTGGGGGCTGATCCTCCAGACGGCCAGTCCGGGAGCTGACAGCACCGCAGCGCCCTTGCAGCTCAGAGCCGCTCGTTCTGGAGGCCATGGCAGTTTCCATGGAAACAGTACCAACCCCCAGAAATAAACCAATAAACGCAACCTGCAAAAGGAGAGAACAGGCAGCAAGAGAACCGGAGGGAACCGGGGGGCCCCGGAGAGAGAGGCGAGTACGCGGCAGCTGGGCCGTGGAGCAGAACCGGAGAGGCCGCAGGCTGCGGGGCGCAGGAAAAGGAGGGCCTCGCGGGGGGGCTACGGCTCCGGACAGAGAGAAAGGAGGCCTCTGGAGGTCAGAGAGAGACAGAGAGAGCAGACAGGGAGCATCAGTGGGGAGGCCCGCACCGCAGCGCCCAGGAGGGGGCCTCTCAGGACAGGGACGCAGGCGCCCAGGGCCCTGGCGTTCCCATCCAGGGGCCCAGCTACCCTCTGCCCCAAAAGCCCCTTCTCAATGTTTCTAGCCAAGGAGCCGGTCCCAACATTCAGCTGCGTCTCAAGTGTGTCTGGAATACGGAGAAGGGACATGCCAAGTGGATTAGAGCTCCACTGTGACACCCTGGTCACCAGCCCCTGCTCACCCCAGCCACGACCTCCAGACTGAGCAGCGCCCCAGGCCCTCTGCACCCTGCCAGCCAGGAGCTGCCCACAGAGGGAAGCTTCACTATCCAGACTCAGCAGGACCTGGGCCAGGTGAGGGGCCAACAAGCGAGCACAGGAAAGCCTCTGGCCGCCCTGCTCCCTGAGGACTTAAGTACAGGCTACAGCTGCAGGGAGGAAAGAACCAATGCCGCCTGTTCCCAGCTTCGTGGGAAAACGACCTGAGTGCAGAGCTGGGGAGAAACGGGTTGCAGAGTCCCGATAAGGTCTAGGTGGCTTTGGGGCTCCCACCCTGCACCCTCCCCATGTGGACGGGCACCCTCCAGGGTGGTAGATAGCAAAGTCCAAGCTGGGGATTGGAGTCCAAGGGGCCAGCCATCGGATGTGCCCACCGAGTTCTGGGACAACAACAGAAAGGCCTGGCCACTCGGGACCAAAGGCGCCCAGTGCCAGGCGCTGCCCACCCGCCGCCCCGGCCCGGCTCTGACCTCGGGTCTCAGGCACGCTGGGCGCGGGCAGGGGCACGGCCGTGGGGTCCTGGGAGTCGCTCGCCACCCTCTGCCCAGCGCACATGGACTTGAGCATCTGGAAGACGGCGAGGGGCGCCACGTTCAGCTTCAGCAGGTCCACCAGGATCCTGGCGAGAACACATGCGGCGGCAGTGAGCTCTCCTCGCCCGGGCCGGCCGCCCCGGGGGACCCCGACTCCCCTGGGCGCTCACTTGAACACGTCGGGGTCCATGGCGCCGCCCGCAGCCTGCGCCAGCTCGAACAGCTCCATCTCCTCGGCGCTCAGCACCTTTTTCCGCCGCAGCGCCAGCTTTTGTAAGGCCGCCTCCAGTCCCGGGGGCGCCCCCGGCCCGGGGCCCGGCCCCGCGCCCGCGGCCGCCATCTGCGGAACCGCGGAGGGTGCGCGCCGCCCGGTCCCCGCCGCGCCCCCTACTGGCCAGCCACGTGCCCCGCCGTCCGGTGCTCGGGCCCGGGCGGCGGCGGGAGTGCGGAGCACCCGCCCCTTAGCGACTGGGCTCCCGCGCGCGCTCAGCAGGAAGCCTGCACGCAGAGCCCCGCGGTCGCCCAATAAACTCCAGCCAGGCCGGCGCGCGGCTCTTCGGCGCCGCCCCCCGATAGGGGGCGCGCCTGTAGGCCCTAAACTTAACGCGAGGCCGCTTCTCTGGCGCACGCGCGGTCCTTGCCGCTAGGCTCCCCGCTGCGCGCGCGCGCGTGTTGCGAGGCGGGCCTCCCATAAACTCGCGGAAGGGGTGTGGGGGTGTTGGGGGGGGTGGGGCTTGGCTTTGCGCACGCGCCTTTGACCGCGTCCGCCCGGGGGACGCGACGCGCGCAGCTTGATGACGACATTTCAGCGCCGAGTCGCCGAATGGCTGCCTCCGTCCCTGAAGTGGGCGACGCTGCGGGTTCCTCAGGTGAGTGGTGGCAGTAGCGCGCCGTCGGGACCAGCGTCCTGGCGGCCGCCCCAAACCTCTGCAGAAGGCGGCTCCGCGCGAGGCCCGGGCATCGGACCGGGGCGTTGAGTGCCGCGCCGCGCCCTCCCGCCGCCTTCCCGCGCGCCTACACGAGCCTCGCTCAGGCGGGCGCCGGGTTAACGTTCCTGCGCGCGGTGGGGGACCGACAGCCTAGGACTCCCCGGCGAGCGCTGTGGGGGGCGCGGGGATGGGTCTCGGCCTGACGCCCACCCCCGCCCCGGGTGTGCTGGCCTTGCGGAGCCGCGGCTTCCGAGGGTCGCCGGGTAGTGGCGAGCTGCAGACGGGAGGGCTTGCTCGTTGCGCGGCCGGAGGAACGCCCCGACGAGATGGGCGCCGCCAGGGCTGCGGTTCCAGGAGAGACCCCGAAGCCGGGTCGGAAGGCACTCCTGAAGGCAGCGGGTGTGGAGGTGGCGGCGTGAAGTGGAGGGGGGCGCCCAGAGCAGGCGGCGCGGCGGGAGAACCGGGACGCTGCCGTCTCCCCGAAATTCCGCAGTTAGGCGCCTCGGGCTCACTCAGCCGCTAACTCTGCCAACTTTCTCCCAGGAAGGAGCAGCTTTCACCTCGTCATCTCTGAAGCTCTGCCCTCGGCCCGCGGTACAGGGTTTTATGCCGCTTTGATCGTTTCTGCGTAGTGCACGGTGTTCTCTGGACCCCTTGGTTCAGGACTGGAGCATTTTAAGTCATCCTTAAAACTGAAGCGAAGGTTTAATGTAATTAGGAGTTGAGCAGACTCAGTGTTGCTGGACCCAAGATTTGACTATTCACAGCCCGATAGCGGGTACTCCAAAGGCAAGTGTCAAGAGATAAGAAAGGTTGTTTTAATCAGAAAGCTGGAGCAGCCAGACCGGTATCCCAGAGGCGACTCTGAAGATTATGCGCCACAGTGACAGTTTTTAAATGGATAAGGGGAAAGAATCTCAGAGTCATAGCGGCAGGACGTCAGGCTCTGCGTCACTTTCCGTCTCGTGCAGGCTGGCAGTCTCCTCGTGGTCGTTCTTCAGCTGTTGTCTTGCCTGCTAATCTGCAGGATTGCCAGGAGGGATCCTGGGGGCAGAGAGCTGGTCATTCTTTTTCATTCCTACCTTTTTTTAATCTAGGAAAAGAATCAAGTTAGGCAGGGTTTTGTGGGCATTCAGTAGACCCTGAGTCAGGAGTTAGGTTAAATGCCACCAGGTCACCTCATTTCTACAAGGTTTGAGCAAGACAGAAATTGGCAGACAGGAAAGGGCGAAGGATCCCCCGGCCAATACTCCATTTCTGTGGGACTGGGGGCAAAAGCCTGTCTTCTGAAACTTCTTCCTGTGGACATAGGGCACCGTATTCTTTGAGTGGAAGATGTGGGTGTGAATCTGTAGCATCTTCTTGCTGACAGTTTTAGCCTGTTTACATATACGAGCAGAGCAAGCTACAATTACTTTGATGGCCACAGAGACAGGTTATGAAGAAGAGCAGCATCGGTCCCACTGTCTCAAGGCCGGTTCTCAGAACTGCTGGCTGTGGATGGAGCGCCTTATGTCACGGCTGCAGTCCGGTCATTGCGCAGCTGGCTCTCTTCCTTTGCTGGCAGTTGTAGCATCTATAAACAACTCAGGAGTGTGCATCAGAGTTTCCTGACCATCAGCTGCTTGTTCTGGCTGTTTTGTGCTCTGGGGGGGCCAGGCAGACTTCAGCTTTTCTACAGACAGGGGTGGGGGACATCTGCTGGGGATGGGGGTGTCCAGCACCCTTGGTCTCACAGGAAGGTGTTCGTAATGTCCAGGGGCAGAGATGCCCAACCAGCCTCTCCATCCACGTAGTCTGCCTGCCAGCTGCCCCCTCAGCGTTGTTCCTTGGCTGTGGGCAGAGCTGTGCCAGGAGAGCCGTCAAAGGACGCAGAGGCTCTGACTCTGCTCGGTCTGGGTGTTTTCAGGTTCTGCCCCGCAGGCACAGGGAGTGGGAGTCTGGAGAGCTGCCCCTGATTTTCTAGTGGCTGTTCAGAGGCTCTGCTGGTGAAGTGTGCTCGTCCCCTCCTCGCTCCTTCCTCAGAGGGCGCAGGTAGGACAGAGGCGGTGCACCCGCCTTTCTCTAGAGAGCGGTGAGGAGGCTCACCTGCCTCCTCCTGCCTGGCTCTGAGGAGTAAGTGAGGCGCGGATGGCGAGCCGCCGGAACTAGGCCTGGCGCGGGGCACGTGCCCCGCTTTACCACAGGCTCCCCCCGCGGTTCTGGCTCTGAGGCTCCCGCTGGCCTGCACGTGCGCAGCACTTCTGCAGAACGTGCGCCTGGGTTGCACTTCGTGAAGTGCTGCGGTGACTTGTTGAGACTCCATCTCTGTCTGCAGTGGTCCCCTAAGACGGTCGCTCCGGACCCCACAAGGCAGGCTGCCATGGCGTTCCCCCACCTGCAGCAGCCCAGCTTCCTGCTGGTAAGTGTCCGCTGCCCGCCGAGGGCCCACGGGACAGGAGAGCTCTGGGACTGGAGAGCTCTGCAGTGCGTGCTTTTTGGGGTGCTGTGCTGGAAAGCGTGGACTCCCATTAGGATCCTCAGGCTCGAGTGTGTGCTGGTGTGTGCTGGTTTTTTATGCAGCCACTGAGCCCCAGTTTTCTCATTTACAAGAAGGGGTCATAGAAGTGTCGGTTCCCCGGTCTCCCCGGCTGGGGGAGGGGCAAGGGAGGAGAATGGACACCTGTGTCTTCACGTCTCGTAAATCCTGACACGAAAGCGAGGTGTTCTAATGACCTTAACTGCTCTTGGTGAAAACTGGAAGGTCCCTGCTCTGCTGGGGCACCAGGCCTGCACTTTCCTGTGGACGTTGCTCTGGGCGGAGGGTCTTCCTGGTGCCCCCTGAAAGCCAGCAGATCCAGCCCCAGCCTGCACAGCGGGGTCTTGCATCTGACAGAGACGCTGTGGGCCCCACCCTCACGGAGATGGCCAGGGCCTTGCATTCCCTGGGCGAAGCCTGGCCTTGCCTGCTAACCTTCATCCGTGCGCACAGGGCCCTTCTTTTCTCTGGTCGGGATGACGCGAGCCTTCTGTGTCTGACTCCCGCCTGTCACTTGGACTTCCGGTCTGACTTCCAGCAGGGTGCTCAACCATGTTCTGGTTGGCTCTGTCTCCTAGGCCAGCCTGAAAGCCGACTCTATAAACAAGCCTTTTGCACAGCGCTGCCAAGACTTGGTTAAAGTCATCGAGGACTTTCCAGCAAAGGTAAGGCTTTGCTGTCTGTTTTCTATGGGGTGTGTCCCACATGCTCCCAGAGGAGGGTCTATAAGCCCCTCTCCCACCTCCAAGCGCTGCCTGCGGAAGCCTGACGCGGGGTGTAACTCATGTCTGTGACGTGTAAATGAGAGCACGTAGATTGGGGTTTCTCAGCTGTGGGCCCACAGGGGCCGTTGGCAGTGTCTGGAAGCGGTTATAGTTGTCACACGGGCGTCCCTCCCCACACCTGCCCATGCCGTGTCTAGCACAGAGGTCGGCCGTGCGGTGTTGAGCCAGACATGCAGTAGCCACGTCACCATGGCTGCCCAAGACGGGGCAGCAGGGTCCTGGGCGCAGGCCCAGCTGGGAGGCGGGCAGGGTCCCCTGGAGAGCCTGCTCTGAGCACCCACGCCGCTGCAGGAGCTGCACACTGTGTTCCCGTGGCTGGTCGAGAGCGTTTTCGGCAGCCTGGACGGCGTCCTGCCCGGCTGGAACCTGCGCTGCCTGCAGGGCCGCGTGAGCCCCGTGGAGCACAGCGTCGCCTTGGAGTTCCTGGACCCTGGGTAGGTCGTCTCCCCTACATGGGGCCGGACATTCTCGGGGCGTCCTGTCTGGTTTGCCACTCACTTCCCTGTTTCTGTCGTTCGCGTTCAGAGGCCCAATGATGAAACTGGTGTATAAACTTCAGGCCGAAGACTATAAGTTTGATTTTCCTGTCTCCTACCTGCCCGTAAGTAAGCCACAGCGGTGAAGGTGGGCTGGTGGCCATGGTGCTGGCAGCGGACAGGGGCCTGAAGGGTTGTCACAGTGGCCAGAGCACCCTGGTGTCTGGCCCCGGAGGCATCACCAATTGGAACTTCACCAGCTCCTTCTTTCCCAGAGGTGATCTGAACCCAGCCGGTGGGAAGGCCCAGTGGCCTCCTGCTGAGTGGCAGGGCATGTGCCTAGAGGCTTTGTTTTACTGAGTCTGCAGTTCTGTGGGGCGAGTTAAAGGCAGGCTGGCTCACGGGGCTCAGAAGCACAACAGGTGGGATCTATCGCATGCCTGGCTGGGCCAAGATGCGCCCTGCTGCAGCGGGCCTGGTGGGGACGTGGGGAGAGTGCGTGACAGGCAGGGGACAGCGCGGTTCCCCAGCTGGGGTCAGGGCTGGGCTCCACCACGGCCTCCTCAGGCCACGCCTGTGTCTGCAGGGGCCCGTGAAGGCGTCCATCCAGGAGCGCGCGCTTCCCGACAGCCCCTTGTACCACAACAAGGTGCAGCTGCCGCCCGCCGGAGGCCTCGGCCTGTACCTGGCCCTCAGTATCCTTTGTCGGCCGCGGGTGGGGGAGGCAGCCAGCGCGGGGGGGCCGCCCTGCCGTTTGTCCCCTGACGCGGCCTTCAGACCCCTTCGAGTACTACATGTTCTTCTTTGCCTTGAGCCTCATCACTCAGAAGGTAAGGAGGGCTGAAGCCCCCTGGGGGCGGGGCAGGGGTGCCCAGGGCTCTTGTCCAGGCAGGCTGGGCCGGCCGCCTCCTGGTCCCCTTTGCGCCCGCAGCCTTCGCCCTTCAGGCCACCGTCACTGAGCCAGGGTGACGGGCTGGGACGGGCGGACGCCCCGAGTGCTGGTCTGGGGGGCTTCCTGCAGGGGGTGCCTTCTGGGCAGGGGCGGGGGCAGGGCAGGGCAGGGCAGGGCGGGCCCCGCCCTGGGTGCTTGGGACCCTCAGGGGCAGGGCCTGAGCCCGTGGGGGCGGGGTCAGCCCCCGGGGGGCGGGGTCCTCAGGGGCAGGGCCTGAGCCCGTGGGGGGCGGGGTCAGCCCCCGGGGGCGGGGTCCTCGGGGGCAGGGCCTGAGCCCGTGGGGGCGGGGTCAGCCCCCGGGGGCGGGGTCCTCGGGGGCAGGGCCTGAGCCCGTGGGGGCGGGGTCAGCCCCCCGGGGGCGGGGTCCTCAGCCACGCTCACGGGGCTCTGCTTCCAGCCGCCCCCTGGGGCCCTGCACTTCCGCACCTCCGACTGCGCCTACTTCATCCTGGTGGACAGGTACCTGGCCTGGTTCCTGCCCACGGAAGGCAGCGTGCTGCCCCCCCTCTCCTCCAGCCCAGGGGGGCCCAGCCCCGCGCCAGCTCCCAGGTGAGGCTTCCGGCCAGGGCCCGAGGTGCCCGCGCACACCGCCAGGTGCGGGTGGTCCTTCCTCCTGGTGGAGCGTTGCCCACCAGGGACGGTGGTGGTGCCTTGCGTGCAGAGCGCTCAGCTTTGTCTGCGGCCTGAGGCTCTGCGACCCAGCTGCCCTGGTGCGGGCTGGAGGGCTGGTGGGGGCTTCCCTTAAGTGGCAGGTTCTTTGGCCTCAGGAAAGGGCCCGGGCCGTGTTCTGCGTGTGGCCGCCCTCTCCGCACAGGGCACCCAAGCCCAGGCTGGGCCAAGAGCAGCTGGCAAGGGACTTGGAGCTGGGGATGGCCGACGGCCCCGGCCGTGGAGGACGGGGGCGCTGGGCTGCGGGGGCCGGGTGCTGGGGCAGAGCCCTGGGCTTCGCCAGCCCACCTCCTCCCCTGGAGGCTGCAGGCTCTCTCCTGCAGAGCCCCGCCCTCTGGCACGTGCTGGGTCACCCTGCACTTGAGTGGCAGGGCCCCCGAGGATGGGACAGGACAAGTGGGGGGTGTGGAGCGGGGGCTGGGAGGGCATTCACAGCCCCAGAGAGGCTTCAGCTGCCAGGTGGACTTCTGGGCCGGATTTGGCTCACTCCTAAGACATAATTTCAGGGTTTACAAGTTGCTACATGTAACAGAACTTTCACAGGCCCTTCACCCGCCTGATTTCCGAGTTGTCTTAATCTGCGAATCTGTGTGTGTTTTCTTGAGCTGTTTGAACAAGTTACAGACACGTGGCTGTCACGCCTTAACTCATGAGTGTTTTCAGAAACCTGTGGTCTCTTCGACCTTCCTGCAAAGTAGGGCCCGCCAGCCCGGCCCCACACCCGCCTTGGGCTTTAGCAGTCTCCTGCCTCCTGCTCGCGGCTGTCTCTCCATCGTCCGGAGGGTCCCGACCCCAATGGCGGTGTGTGCCGCGCCCTTGCCCCTCGGGTGTACCCCACGGTCAGATGCTGGCCTGGCTGAGGGATGCCGCGGCCCTCCTCCGGGGAAGGTGGATAAGTGCCTGGGTCTCAGGTAAAGAACCTGGGGGACCTAGTGGGCAGCGTCTGTGTCCCTCGCGGTCCTCGGCCGAGCCTGTTGTGGACGAGCAGTGCCAGCTGACGCTCGTCCGGTCTTCTCCCCTCACTCCTTGGGCCGGCCCTGAAGGCAGCCTCCACCCTTTGTTCACACACAGCGGCTTGACTAGACCTGCCCCTGCCGTCCCAGGTGGCCCGTCCCGCCCCGCAGCCATCCTGACACTCTCTGTGTCTGTCTGTCTGTCCCCAGGACACCGGCCGTGCCCTTTGCCTCCTACGGCTTGCACCACACCAGCCTCTTGAAGCGGCACGTCTCCCACCAGACGTCGGTGAACGCGGACCCCGCCTCCCATGAGATCTGGCGGTCGGAGACGCTGCTCCAGGTGAGTGCGGGGCCCATCTGTGGGAGCCGGTCCGGTGCTGGGCACTGCCCGCCCCGCGGGCAGGGCTGAGAGGCTGCGCCTGCGGAGGGCGCGTTACAGACGGGAAGGCGCTTGCCCGCGGTCACTGGTGTCACTGGCAGGGTTTCCCCGGGCTCCATCTGTGGAGCTTTAGTCTTTCTCTCCTGGTGACGCGATGGCTCTCCGGCCCCTCCGTTTCCGTGGCTGGGCTCACCCTCTCTGGCCACCAGCGTGTCTTGGGCACTGAGACACAGGGCCTCCCCTTGGTCAGCAGGCCTGTCCCTCCCCCGCGGGGCCCCCGTGTGGGTGGCAGGCTGCCCTGCGCCTGTCCCCTGAGCCGGCCCCGGAGAGCCTGCTGGCTCTGTGGCTGGACTCCAGGGCTGTGGGCGTCACCACAGCCGGCTTGTTCAGAATCTGAAGTGTGGCTGGGATGGGGTTCTGTGGTGTTTTGGAACCGTGGTAAAATACACATAACATAGAACGTAAGTCTGAAATGTTTTAAGGCAATGATCACGTAGTGTTAGGGTGTTTGCACTGTTGTAACAAGTTTCCAGAACCTTCCATCCGTGAGACCCAGCGTCTGTCATCAGACAGCAGCCCCTCCACGCACCGCCAGCCCTGCCCCCACATCCCGCTCAGTTCTGTGACAGACCCCCCCCCCACCCCGTGCCTCTGTCGGGGGCGTCGGCGGCGCCTCTGTGACTCACTGACTGCGCTTCCCTCAGCGGTGCCGCGGGCTCGTCTGCGTGGCGGGTGAGCGCCCTGCCCGCTGAAGCCACGCGCAGTCCTGCGCGTGTGGCCCCGTGTCGTGTGTCAGCCGTCTGACGGGCACGTGGGCCGCTTCTGGTCTTCGCTGCTGGGATTGTCCTCTTGAGCCTTGCCCTCTGTGGGGTTTCTGAGGCGCTGCTGCGCTGTTGTCCACGGTGGGTGAGCCATTTCTTATCACCCCCGGCGGGGCGCGCGGGCTCTGGTTTCTCCGTGTCCTCGGGACGCTCGCTGTGCCCTGGGTTTTGACTGCGGTGTCCTAGTCGTGGTGAGCGGCCTGTTCCGCCTTTCTCGTCCTTGTTGGCCACATGTGTGTCTTTGGAGAAGTGTCTCCTTGAGTCCTTTGCCTGGTTTTGAGCTGACATTTTTGTTGTGACTGAGTTCTCAGCGATCTCTGTGTAGGCTGGGTGTTAATCCTTCCTCAGAAACATGGTCGGCGAGTCTTTTCCCTGTTCTGTGAGCTGCTGTTTTACTCTATGCGTTGTATCTTTTGATGCACAAAAGATAGTTTTTTAAATCAGAGTTTACTAAAGCCTTCCTCACTTGGCTGTGCTGGGTCCTCGGGGCCGGGCGGGTTTTCTCTGGTGCCCGCGGGGCGGTTGTCTGGCTGTGGCTCCTCTCGCGGGGGAGCCGGCTCTAGGCGCACAGTCTCAGTGCTGTGGCTCAGGTGCCCCGCGGTGTGTGGGACCTTCCCGGACCAGGGATTGAGCCTGTCCCTCACATTGGCAGGTGGGTTCTTAACCACAGGGCCCCAAGGAAGTCCCACCAAAGCTTTTAATTTTCGTGCTGTCCAGTTTTTCCGTTTGTTGCCTGAGCTGTTGGAGTCACACGTGGGAGGTCATTGTCAGGTCCAGCCTTGTGAAGTGCTGACTTTACGATTTTACCTCCTGCTCTAGGTCTTTGATCCACAGTGAGTTGTTTCTCGTTTACGGTGTTGAGTGAGGGTCTGACTGCGTCCGTGTGCAGTTGGGTCCTGTTTTCCCAGCAGCCTCGGTGGAAAGCTTGCTCGTTCTGTCGCCGAGTGGTCTGGAGCCCTCGCCGGGACCTGTTGACCCGCCCGTGCTCTCTTGCAGGTGTTTGTGGAAATGTGGCTCCATCATTACTCTTTGGAGATGTACCAGAAGATGCAGTCCCCTCACGCCAAGGTATGTGGCTGCTGCCGTTCCTCTCCTGCCGCTGCAAGCGCTGCATTTCGGCTTCAGGGCTGGCTGTGGGCTCGCCTCCCCAGGCGCCGCGTGGCTTGTGCTGTGTGCCGGGCTTGCACCCGCCCTCCCCGGGTACCCTGGCTGCTCCCCGCCCGTCTTGGCGGCCCCTCTGCTTGTCCTCCGAGTGCACAGGTGGCCCTCCAGGGGCGGCTGGGGTCTGCCAGCCCCTCCCTTGCCGGGCCGCTCATATGTGTGCGGAGGCCTGGGGTCCACGACCCCCACTGTGGCCCCTGGGCTAGTCGGGATGGGCTCCACCACTCTAGACCCCGCCCTTGCTGCAGGCGCGGTCCTCCTGGCATCCTTGGGGCTGGGGGCCCACAGCCTCCGCCGTCCCGGGGGTTTGCTCTTCAGGACACCCCAGGTGTGGGAGGGCCGAGCAGGGCCAGGCTCCACCCTGGGCCTCCCGAACACCGCCCGCCCCACCCCGCCCCACCCACTTCTGCCCGGTGCGGGCCTGGCCCAGGAGCCTGCCCACCTCAGTCTTTAGACATGGCTCCGGGCCGCCGGTCACCTCGGGGGCCTAGCCCTCCTCCCGGTGACTGCAAAGGTCTGGGCAGTTACCCAGAAACCTGCCCTTTGCCGTCTGTTGGGGCAGGAAAACAACACATGAGGAGGCAGGTTGTGTGGAAAGCCGGCTACAGGGGGCCCTGGGGTCACTGTTCTGGAGCTCCTGCAGGCCGTGGGCCCGCGGGGTCCCTGGGGTCCCCAGGCTCCCCAGCTCCTTGCTCAGAGCGTGGCCGGGCCATCTCCCGGCGTCTGGCATGTCCCTGGGTGAAGCATGGCACCCAGCACGCGGGCAGGCCATGTGCGGGCGGCTCTGACTGCCGCAGGGGGTAGGCAGGGGCCCAGGGTGGGGGCAGACAGTGGGCCAGCCTCGCTGCCTCCGCCAGGATCCAGGCCTCTGGGTGTGTGTGGCCATGGCCGGCCTGTCAGGGGCCCTGGCCGTGGGCCTGACTGGAGATTGTCTGTGGTCCTGGCGAGGTTGGGGCTGGTCTCCATGAGAGAGTCCAGGGCGGGCCTGGTGGGCCGTGTGCCACCTGGAGCCCCTCTGGGAACCAGCCCGTGCGTGTCACAACACCTGGGAGTTGACCAGGAATTGATCATGTTATGTGCTGATGAATTTCTCTTCCGAAACAGCCCAGGAAGTCCCGTCAATTGCTCTGGGCGAGAGGCCTCGGTCTAGAATTGGCTTCTCACGTTTGTGTTTCATTCCTGGGCCACAGACACATGAGCTGCTGCGGCGCGGGGGGCGGGCGGACCGCGGAGCCCCGGGCACCCTCGAGCCTGCCTCTGCCCCGGCATGGGGGACGGCTGCGTGGCGCAGGCTCTTCCGGGCACGTGCTCTTGCTGGTGTGTGTCGGGGCTCCAGGGCTGCTTCTCACTGTCTCTCTCTCTCCCTCCCCGCCCGCCCGCCGGCTTCTGCCCAGCTGGAGGTCCTGCACTACCGGCTCAGCGTCTGCAGCGCCCTCCACAGCCCTGCCCACCCCAGCCTCCAGGCCCTCCACGCCCACCAAGTACTGGCCGCGCGCGTTCTGTCCGCTCCCCCCTCCCCGTGGCATAAGCCCCGGAGCTCACGTCTGTGCAGCAGTGAAGCCTGGGGCCGCCTGGGGTGATGCAGAGGCCCCTTCTAAGCAGAGCCAGGCCCTCCTGCTGGGGTTCGGGGTGCAGCCAGGTGGCCGGGAGTGATGCCAGGACCCGCTGGCTGTGCTGGGGTCACCGGGCTGCCGGGCCCAGCTCTAGGCCAGCCCAGGTGTCCAGCCCTGGGTCCATTGTGCTGCACGCTCAGCCCCGGTTTGCGGGGGGAAGCCGTGCGGCCTTTGTAGCGCAGGCCTGGTGCCGGGGCTGACCGAGGACAGGCGGCCCCGGGGCTCGTGGGTGGCGACCTTGTGGAGGCTACAGTCTGCTTAGGCAGGAGTGCCAGGGATGGAGTGCAGTCCGTGGGATAGGGGTGTGGGGCCAGCAGGCTCCTGAGGTTCGCTGCTCCCCAATGTGACCTCCGGGGAGCTTGGGCCTCGCTCACGGTCAGGGCTCTGTCCACGTTGCCCTCAGTGGGGCCTTGAAGCCCTGAAATTGAATTTGAGCACAGATGAGATGTTACGCTTCATTCCTCCCTGGCTCCTGCACAGAGGAGGGAGAGAAGGTTCCAGAAGGACCGCCGTGGGCGGGGGAGGGCCTTCCCAGGCAGCAGCAGGGTCATCCACAGTGGGAGGCCAGCCCGTGGGGGTCTTGAAGGCAGAGGGTGTGGGCATCAGCGACAGGCTCCTGCGGGCCCTGTCTCAGGCTGGGAGGTGCTGAAGAAGGCAGTGTGCCTGAGGAACAGTGAGGAGGTGGCCCGCAGGTTGGGTGCGGGTGCCGGCCCAGGGTGGGAGCAGGCCCAGGAACGCTGGGGGTTGAGATGCGCGGGGGCAGGCCCCGGGGTTCCTGGAGCAGGGCCAGCACGGAAGGGCCCTGTGATGTTCATTCCTGTTACGGCATCCCCTTCCCTCCGGTACGCTGCAAGTGCACCACGTAGAGACCCAAAGGTAGACAAGGCAGAAGGGATACCGGCCTGGGGGTCGCTGGGGCCTGCCCGGCCGTTTCCACGCCAGGGCAGCCCATGGGACCATGCCTTGGGCCCCGGGCTTTTGTGCGCCTCTCAGCGATCCTCACTGCGGGCAAGCCCATGGCTGGGGGTGGGCAGGGGAGCAGCCGCCAGGTCTCAGACCCCTCCACATTTGTGGACCAGAAGCCCAGCTCGAGGGATGGGGTGGGGGGTCCTTGTGGCGAAAGCTCCACCAGAGCTCCAAGTGCAGGGAGCCCCCGGGCATGGGCGGAGCAGCCTGCGGGGTGCCCCTGACGCCCCCGCCTGGCCCCCAGGAGTCCTTCATGCCCACGGAGGAGCACGTGCTGGTTGTGCGGCTGCTGCTGAAGCACCTACACGCCTTCGCCAACAGCCTGCGGCCTGAGCAGGCCCCGCCTTCCGCCCACTCGCACGCTGCCAGCCCCCTGGAGGAGTTCAAGAGGTGGGTGTGGGCGGGGCCGGTCCCCTGATCCCTCCTGGCACGGAGGTAGGGGCAGCAGGGAGACCCGTCTCACTTCCCCCCACCAAAGCAGAAGAGCCCAGCCTCTCAGCTCTGCGCCCCCAATCCCCACTCCCCACACGGGCAGACGGGCCAAGGCCTGATGCCCAGGCCAGCGGGGGCTGGCAGAGCGGGCGACGTGTGGGTCAGGCCCATGTGCTGTGCCCCCGGGGTGTCCTCTGAGGAAGGGGCTGCACACAGGAGGCCCGGCCCCAGGCCTGCTGGGTGGCCTGGCTCTGGTGACGTCCCTGCCCCCGCAGGGCCGCCGTCCCAAGGTTCGTCCAGCAGAAGCTGTACCTCTTCCTGCAGCACTGCTTTGGCCACTGGCCCCTGGACGCGTCCTTCAGAGCTGTGAGTGCCGCCCCGCCGCCTGTGCCCGCGCGTGGAGAGGGAGGGGGTCGTTCCACCAGCCCCGACCTGAACCCAGCCGCCCACCTAGGTGGGCTCCCAACCTCACCCCCGCCAGGTGGTCTGTTCTGAGGGGCCCCCTTCCTCCCCTCCCTCAGCACTGGCCTCTCCATCTCACCAGGTGCTGGAGATGTGGTTGAGCTACCTGCAGCCCTGGAGGTACGCGCCCGAGAGGCAGGCCCCGGGCAGTGACTGCCAGGCCCGCAGTGTGTCGGAGAGATGGTGAGCCCACCCCGGCTGCTGTGAGGGGGGGATCGCCCTCCCCTCCCCCACTGTCTTTGTGGGGGTCCCCCGTCCCCTGCCACATGCGCTCAGGCAAAGCCCCTCAGCCCTGCACCGCGCCCGCCCCGCCCCGGTGAAGGGCCTCTTCCGTGAGGACCCTGCCCTCAGCCCTCTGTGCTGCCCCCTCCCGTCACCCCGCTCGAGGTGCGGGAGGCTGAGCCTGGAGGAGCCCTGACTCGCCCCCCACAGGGCGCCCTTCGTGCAGGAGAACCTGCTCATCTACACCAAGCTCTTCCTGGGCTTCCTGAGCCGTGCGCTGCGCACAGACCTCGTCAGCCCCAAGAACGCGCTCATGGTGTTCCGCGTGGCCAAGGTCTTCGCACAGCCCAACCTGGCCGAGATGATCCAGCGGGGTGAGGCCCCAACCAGAGGGCACCAGCGCTCTGGGGCCCCCGGGGGGACCACCTGCGCCTCGGGGCCACAGCCAGGCTGGCGTCCTGCCTTCCAGGCGAGCAGCTGTTCCTGGAGCCCGAGCTCGGCATCCCGCAGCGGCAGCACCGGCTCTTCACGGCACCCTCCTTCACCGGCAGCTTCCTGTCGTCGTGGCCGCCGGCCGTCACTGACGCCTCCTTCAAGGTGAAGAGCCACGTGTACAGCCTGGAGGGCCAGGACTGCAAGTACACCCCGATGTTTGGGCCCGAGGTCCGGGCGCTGGTGAGTGGTCGGCGGTCACGCTCCTCTCCGTCTGGCTGGGGGAGTCTAGTGTTTGCTGATGCCAAACTCAGCGGCTGTTGGAAGGTGCACCTTAGCCCTTAACACTCACCGTGTGGGCGCCCAGAGGCAGCCGAGCCCACTGACCCCCGCCTGCCCGCAGGTCCTGCGTCTGGCGCAGCTCATCACGCAGGCCAAGCAGACGGCCAAGTCCCTCTCGGACCAGTGCGGGGAGAGCGCGGCCGGCCGCCCCTTCCTGTCCTGGCTGGGCTTCTACCCCGCGGACACCAACGGCTCCTACTCGGGCAACGACCTGGACGAGATGGGGCAGGACAGCGTCCGCAAGACGGACGAGTACCTGGAGAAGGCGCTGGAGTACCTGTGCCAGGTGTTCCGGGTACGCGCCCGCTGCCCTCAGCCCCGCCCAGCCCCGCCCTCGCGGCAATCGAGTTGGGGTGGGGGTGCTCCCCGGGCTCGATCGTGACCCTCTGCCCGACCCTCCCCGCAGCTCAGCGAGGCGCAGCTCGCCCAGCTGACGCTGGCCCTGGGGACAACGCAGGACGAGAACGGGAAGAAGCAGCTCCCGGACTGCATCGTGGGCGAGGACGGGCTCATCCTCACACCCCTGGGCCGCTACCAGGTGAGGGCGGGGCGGGGCGGGGTGGGGCGGGGACGGTACCGGGTGGGGGCGGGTACCAGGGGCGGGGCGCTACCAGGTGAGGGCGCGGCGTTGCTCAGTGTTCTGTTCCCAGATCATCAGCGGGCTGCGGCGCTTCGACATCGAGTACCAGGGCGACTGGGAGCTGCAGCCCATCCGGAGTTATGAGATTGCCAGCCTGGTCCGCGCGCTCTTCCAGCTGTCTTCCACCATCAACCGCAGGGTGAGTGTGGGGAGGGCCTCCCGCCAGCCCCCGCCAACCAGCCCCCAACCGCAGGGTGAGTGTGGGGAGGGCCCCGCCAGCCCCCGCCAACCAGCCCCCAACCGCAGGGTGAGTGTGGGGAGGGCCTCCCGCCAGCCCCCGCCAACCAGCCCCCAACCGCAGGGTGAGTGTGGGGAGGGCCCCGCCAGCCCGCCCCGCGCCCGCTGAGCCTGCCGTCCGCTCCAGTTCGCAGGCCAGATGGTGGCGCTGTGCTCGCGGGCCGACTTCCTGGGCAGCTTTTGCCGCTACCACCTCTTGGAGCCCGGGCTGTCGGGCCGGCGCCTGCTGAGCCCCGTGGGGCGGGGCCACGCCGCCAACCGCGCGCGAGGGCCGCGGCTCAGCCTGCGCTTCCTGGGCAGCTACCGGACACTGCTGTCGCTGCTGCTGGCCTTCTCCGTGGCCTCGCTCTTCTGCGTGGGGCCCCTGCTCTGCGCCCTGCTCATCGTGCTGGCCTACGTCCTCTACGCCGTGGCCATGACGCTGCTGACCGAGCGCGGCAAGCTGCACCAGCTCTGAGCGCGGCCGCTGGCCGCACCACGCCCCACCGCCCCACCACGCCCCACCGCCCCACCCCAGTCACCTCCGTACTTCTCCGGCTGGTTTCCCGCGAGCCTGCTGGGCGGGGCCCGGGCCTCCTCAAGGGGCAGGGCGGCGCGGTGGGCTCCCTGCCTCAGCCGGAGGCCCTGCAGGGAGGTGCCTTTCTCTTCACCATGTAAAGCTCAGGAGTCAGGCCTCCCCGGAGGGCTCGCAGTCTCTGCCCTCAAGGACCCCGGAGGAGGGCGGTGAGACCCCAGGACAGGAACCCAGCCTCTGGCTCCCAAGAAGAATCATGCTTCAAAAGGCAGTCCTGAGAAAATTAGATGGCGGTTCTCCTTTGGTTCAGGATTTTAAAGCTAATTTTGCTGCCAAGTCCGGGCTGCACACCTGCATCTGAGGAGAGGAGGCGCTCGGGAGCGCAGATGGCCCCAGGCCGGCCGGCCTGCTGTGCACGCCTTGTCCTTGCAGGCGGGCGGGCTGCGCTGCTCCCCGCCAGCCCAGTCCACAGCCAGAGGAGGTCGGAAGCACTGTTTGTGTCCTCGCTTAGAGCAGGTGCTTGGACAGTGGTAAGGTTCACACATTCCACGTGCACGAAGGCCACGTGTTCACAGACCCTCACAGCCTTCCACGCCCTTTGTCCTGCAGATGACATACTGGGGGGCACTTGCCAACCCAGATTTTTAAAAGCCTTTGGTGTCTTTTTAAGTTTTCAAACTAAATGTTGGGCTTTGTGTTTTAATGTAAACTCAGAACAGTGGCCATTGGGGCCTGTGACCAAAAACCAAACCTGTAACTGACCCTGGATCTGAATAAACCTGTTTTTGGTCTCGAGACCCACGGTGCCGTCAGTCAAGTTCTGTGGACAAAGGAAGTTCGAGTTTCCACCGGTTCCCGCGGACACCGACTCTGTGACCAACCTCTGAGATGTCCGGGGGTCCCACATCCACGGCACCAGTTCCTGACGACACCCCTGCGAAGCTTCCTCTGATGGACACGGGCCCGCCTGCAAGGGTGGGGACCCCCATCTCTCCGGGGCTCTGCTCGCCCCTTTGCCCGCACACCATTAACTGTGGAGCAGCCACCCATTGTGGTACCTGCAGCCGTGCTGGGACCCGCGGGGTCTTCACCGAGCAGGATTCAGAAGTCAAAGCAGACGCTGAGGTTGAGCAGCCTGGAGGGCGGAGTGGGGAGGGCAGCCAGGGCCCACAGTGCGTGGCGGCTTTGCCCAGGGGCCCGGCAGGTGGGGCGGTGGGGACCCCCCCTTCACACAGACCCTAAGGTGGTGTGGGGGCTCTGGCTGCAGCATGGAGATGGGGCGGGAAGGAGTGGGCACAGGAGGCCGAGGTCCCAGGGGAGAGAGGCCGCCGTCCGGGCTGGGGAGGCGTGGGGAGGTGGGTAGCAGCCCCGGTTTTGAAGAGGCCCACGGGGAAACTGAGTGCTAGGGTGAGTTTACAGTTGAGCTCTCGGTCCCGCCCGGCCCTGCTCCAGCTCGGCCACAGCCACCTTGTCGGGGAGGAGCAGCAGCCGGACGCCTGGAGCCACAGCTTCCTGGGCAGCCTGCCCGTGTGGGCTACAGCCCCAGACCCCAGGGCACCGGCCTTATGGGGCTGACCCCCGCCCCTCCACTTCCCCTTCCAAGGCCACTAACTTCGGCTTCCCTGGCGGCTCAGTGCTGAAGAACATGCCTGCCGCTTTGGGAGTCACGGGTTCCATCCCTGATCTGGGGAGACCCACGTGCCGCGGAGCAGCTAAACCCGTGCACCACGACTGCTGAGCCTGAGCTCCGCAGTGGGAGAAGCCTGCTATGACGAGAAGGGCCCCCGGCGCAGTGAAGACCCAGCACAGACAAATCACCGAGAACCACCACTAACTCAGCGGGCCTGAGGCTCCCCTCCCTGGCACGGCGCCCTGTAAAGAACGGCCCCACTTCGCTGTGAACACCTGCCAAGGTGGCTTCCTGCCTGCAGGCACCGCGCCTGGTGCTCGGGCTCAGCTGGTGGGTCAGCTCGGCTCCAAGGACACGGCTGCTACCAAGCTCCCAAAGCAACAACCTGAGCACACGTCCTACCTCGTGGCTCTGAGCCACTCGGAGAACATGCAGGTTTCTGTAGAAACCAGTGGAGTGAGCTGGTGGGGGAGGCTGCTCACAGGTGCCGCAGATCTAGCTGAGCTGCAGGCGGGGGCGGGTGCAGTGAGGGGAGACCCCCGGGGAGGGCTGCTGGCCCGGCTCCCGGGGGCAGGCTGGAGGCGGGGGTTCTGCATGTTTCCTCAGCCCCACCCAGAGCCGCAGGTGGTTTATGCCAGCTGCCCACGCCCTCAAGCCCCAACACCCTGACTGACCTTCAGGCCGTCACCCAAGTGCTGCCCAAGGGCCACAGCGGTCGCCTCAGCGCCCCCAGCCAAGGCTGGACTCACTGTCCTTCCTGAACTGTTTTCCACAAACCTGCCCGTCTGTTCCGAGCTTCCATGTCCTACAGAACGTCCCCAGGAAGCTCAGAGTCCGTGCGTCTGAAATCTCCCGAGAGACCCACGCTCAGGGCAGCCTGACCAGTGAGAGCCCCTGCTCGGCCAGCCCCGCCACCACCCTCCTGTCTGGTAGCCCGGGGGCGCTGCTGGGCCTTCAGGCGAGTCTCTGGGGGTCTGCACCCCCTCCCCCCGCCCAGGGGGCCCCGCGCTCCTGCCCCAGTCTGTCCTCCCCGCCTCTGCCTCCCCGGCTGGATGAAGGGCCCCCTCTGGACTCACCACTGTCCACAGATAAAAGCAGAGAGGTACTTGTCATTTGTGTGGTGCTGGGCACGTGGAGATGCTGAATAAATAAATAAACACTCATGACTGACCATCCGTCCAATGAGGACGTTTGTTCTCTGTGGATGAGTATTGTAGTCTTTTCTCCCCAGAGCTGAGCAAGTATACAAGAGCTGCCCGATAAATACATTTGTTTGACAACTTACTATACCTATTATATACACATCCCAGAATCAAAATATGAACTATTGGATAAATTAGTTTTTCCATGACCAGAAAAGGACAGGACAGGGTCCTTCAATCTGATGTTGAACAATTGAAGGGACGTGACCAAGGCTCAGATCACAGACTGATGTAGAAGAAATCAGCTAAAGGGACCTCCCTGGTGGCCCAGTGGTTTCAAGAACGCCTTGCAATGCCGGGGATGTGGGTTCGATCCCTGGTTGGGGAACTCAGGTCGCACAAGCCAGACGCTGCAATCAACATGGTTCCCACATGACGCAAGTAACACCTGACGCAGCCTAATTACTTTTTTTAAAAGGAAAAGCTAAAACTAGGACCATTAGGAGAAAACACAGAAGTAAACTTACTGGTTTTTCAGATAGGACAACAAAAGTGCATGTGACAAGAAAAAACTTCAGAGAAATGAAAATCTTCACAATACATGTCTTCCATTAGATTGCTTAAAATAGCGCCGACGACTTTTGTTACGCTTCCTGTTCAGTGAACTGGAACTAGACTCACGCTGGCCCTGAGGAAGGACAAAGCGAGGTCACACGGGACCTCTAGGCGCTCGTACGGCTGGAGGAGTGGAGAGTAAGCAAGCGGCCTCCGTGTCAGTGCCCTCAGAAAAGACCGTGATCATTTCCCATTTGACAGTTATTTAAATCAGCAGGTAATTCCAATTCTAAACATATTCCCCACAAGAGTCGCGAGGATGATGAACAGAAGCAAAGTCTGTCTTCCTGGCTGACCCCAAGCAAACACATTCTCTCCCTCTTAACCGAAGCTCGTCTCGCGGGGCTGCAGCGGGCGCAGCGGCAGGAGCCGCCTCCGGCACCGCACAGCCCTGGCCCGCACGGTCGCCGGCACAGCCAACTTGTCCTTGGCTTTGCCCGGGAGGGTTCGGATGGCCCAGGAGAGCAGACACAGGAAGAGCCCAGAGACTGCTGAGTAGCAGAAAAACCCAAGATGTCACCGTGGCCCAGCGCCAAGGCTGCGCTGCCAGCGACGCGACGGAGGCCCAGCACAGCCAGGCACAGGTGTCACAAGCCAGAACCAAGAGCAGGGCCTGACGGCTCCCCGGAGCACGGAGACCTGCGGTGGAAACAAAACCAAGCTGCAAAGCAGTGTGTCTGCCGCGACCCCGTTACAGAAAAACAGGTCAAAGTCATAGCGGACAAAGGAGTCGGACCCACAGGCATGTCAGTGTAAGTACCTAAGCACAGAGGCGGCTTGGGCGGCGTCCACGCCTCGCTCGGGACAGGGGCGGGTGGAATTCAGGTGGTCTCTATTGTTCGGATCGTTTCTACCCAGGAGGACGTACTTCTGCCTGGCTGATGGGCAGCTGCCTGCAAGTCTGACCATGTGCCCTTGGCCCACCTGCACCCACTTCCCCTGGGAGAGCCCGATAGGAGCCCCGTAAGATTGAGGCTGCCGGGAGCCCACACACGAGACCCCACCCGTGACAGGCCACGAGGGAGAAAGCCTGGCGGGCAGGGAGGGTCAGGTTCTCAGGGGTTCCGAAACGCTGCCCCCGGCGCTCACCTTAAAGATGATCTCTGTCTTTCTGATGCCTGCCTCAATGCACTACTCCCTAATTTCTGTGACACAGGCAGAAGGCCTTCCCGATCTCTTCCCAAATAAGAATCAGTTTAGAACTTTAATCAACAAGTTTCCCGGGGGTGGTATTTTATGAGATTATCCAGGGTGAAAGGAGTGTTCTAATTTAAACTCCTTTGCTGGCATTCTAGTTTGTTTGGCAAATGCATTTATGCCCTTGGTACTAATATGCATGATTGCTTATAATACCCTAATCATAATATAGCATAAAGAACCTGATCATATAAAAGCCCTAATAGACATAGAGCCTTTTTGAAGGGGTAAAGGAGTCCTATTAGAAAACATAAGAAAAATTATTCTATAGGTGGTTATTGGGTTGAGATTTGCTTGCTGTGTTTTTGCTTTTAATGTGATAAGGTTGTGTTATAGAAACCATTGTTAATACAGTTAAAGATCTAGAGAAATAAGGACTTAGCCCTAGTGTGGTAACTGAGATGGTTGTTAATTGTCAGCCAGGAGTGCTAGGCAGAAGCTGCCTCACCAAAGTCGCAGTCAGTATGGGGTAAACTTCTTAGATAAACACAACTGACAACTTTTGCAGAAGGATTAATTTTTGTATTAACAAGGATATAATTCTACTCTGTACTATTTCTCTATGAGACTGCTACCTTTCAGTTAAGGTCACCATAAAAACGGAAAATAGGTTTACATTCACCTGACCTGCATAAAATGTTAATAGCCCCAAGGCCAGAAGATCATGTGCTAAGAATTACTATAGAATTAGAAAGCAAAAAACATCCTGCTTTTCCTAAAAAACAAAATGTTGTAATACTAATCCTGTGTAATCATGAGTAAGCATCTTGTACCTTGAAAATGTTCTGTGAAAGGGTATAAAACCGGTTGTCAAAAAGTAAAACACAAACTTGGCCCTATCAAGGCTGGTCTCACATGTCTCTCGCCGACGCTGTTCATCCTGAGGGTACCCCCTGGATCCTGCCGCGGCTGGACCCCGGCAAGTGGCCTCCAACAACAGGGACCCGAAGGTAATCCCCCCCATTGTTCAGTCTTCGGGACGGCTAGGACCCCACTAGGGCGCTGCAGGCCCCCCTGCATACGATAGGTAGGGTGAGGAAAGTGGGTAGGCTTTAGGTTTCTTCTTTAAAACCCCACTGGGGCGCTACAGGCCCCCCTGCATAAGAAAGGTAGGGTAAGAAAAGCAGGTAAGTTTCAGTTTCCTTCTTCTCTAAATTAAGCCTCTTCCTTTTTTCTCTTTTTTTCTTATTCTAATTAGTAACAAAAATGGGCAACAGTGAGTCAAAAGAAAGACAGCTTTTTATTAGAATCACAATACAACTCCTTAACCGCAGAGGAATTAAAGTTAAAAAGACCAGTGTTCAGTTCTTTTCTAGGTTTGTCCAAGAGCAATGTCCTGTTTTCCAGAAGAGAGCAGTTCTCCTGGGTGCCCTTACCCTCCTGCCCTCCACCTGGGTGCCCTTTCCAATGAGACCTCTTGCTTTGTTAGCACATGTGTCTCCTCCGACAATTCACTTATAAGAGCTCAGTTATGGGCCCTAGAAGGGGTCCCCCTTCCTGCAACTGGTGGGGATTCTTCTTCGCTGAGACTGACATCCTGACCACTCGGGGTACTCAGAGGCCAGCTTGCCTGCCAATGGACCAGACCCAGCGGCCGCAACTGGGACCCTTTTGTCCCTGGTCTCCTCCTGACGCAGACAACTGGCCAGAGTGCCCAA